AATCCCTTCTCCTCCATTCTCCTCTCGGGATCTTGGGCATGCACGCACACGCACCCGGTGTGAGTTTAAGCCACCAGGTCCAGGACTTGAACCGCAGTTGACTACATGACTACATGGGAGTTCAGCGACATAGCCATTACACTAACTGCTGGTCCCCACCCAGCATGATTTTCAAGCTGCTGGGCTTGGGACTCAAATCACAGTGGGACATGTGGGAATCCAGCACCTTAACCACCATGCCATTTGCTGGCCCCTTATTTTATTTTTAAGTTTGCTTTAGGCCATTTTTTTTTTTTTTGAAAGAGACAGAGAGTAAGAGAGGGAAAGCTTGAACGCATCCTGATAGGGGATGGTCACACCACGATCCCTTCTCCTCTAGTCTCTTCTTGGAATTTTGGGAATGCACACAAGTCTGGGTTATTTTTCAAGCCACCAGGTTCAGGACTCAAACCACAAAGTTGGCCAGCTGCCTTAACCTCCATGTCACCTACTGGCCCCCAACTACAAACTTTTACTCTGTGAAAGACTTTGTTCAGAGAACAGATAAACTCTAAAGTAGGAGAAAGTATTTTCCAAATACCTATTGGATAAAAGATTAGTAGCTGCCACCAGGTTCAGGACTCAAACCACAAAGTTGGCCAGCTGCCTTAACCTCCATGTCACCTACTGGCCCCCAACTACAAACTTTTACTCTGTGAAAGACTTTGTTCAGAGAACAGATAAACTCTAAAGTAGGAGAAAGTATTTTCCAAATACCTATTGGATAAAAGATTAGTAGCTAAAGGGACCAACAGTTTGCATATATGTCGCTGGACTCCCATGTAGTTGACCATAGCTTAAGTCCCGGACCCGGTGGCTTAAACTCAGGCTGGGCGCATGTGTGTGTGTGTGTGTGCCCAAGATCCCAAGAGGAGAATGGAGGAGAAGGGACTGCAGCATGGCCATCCCCTCTGGAAGGTGATTTCTCGTTTTCTGTCTCTCTCTGTCTTTCTGGCGAGTGCACACGCCTTATAGCAAAAACCTCTCCAAAAAAAAAGATTAGTAGCTAAAATATATTTCTTTTAAGAATTATTTTATCTAACTTTATTTATTTGTTTATTTTTTTTTTAATTTGACCAGAGAAGGAGAAAGCAAGAGAGAGAGAGAAACTGAGAAAGCAAACTGCTAGTCCAGGACCTGAAGTACGGTTGGCTGTGTGGGAGTCCAACGCCTTTAACCACCACACCACCTGCTGGCCCCGCTAGAATGTATTTCTAAGAACTATCAAACCTTGATAGTAAAAAAACTGGACAATTCAGTTAGAAAATACCAGAAGATTTGAAGACATTTCGTCAAATAAACATATGAAAGGATTCTCAACATCATCAGCCTTTACGGGAATGCAAATTAAGGGCATAATGAGATACCATTATACATGTTACTAAATAAAACTTGGTGATAGGCCAGCAGAAAGTGTGGAGGTCAAGGACTCTGATGCCACAGGGCAGACTGCAGGGTTAGAGTACCAGACCCTTACATAGAAATAAAGCCTTTTTCTCTCGCAGCCTCGCTTCAAGATGACAAAGAAAAGAAGGAACGTGCCAGAAAGGGCCGTGGCCACATGCAGCCTATTCACTGCACAAACTGCACACAATGTGTGCCCAAGAAGGCTATTAAGTAGTTCGTCATCTGAAACACAGTAGAGGCTGCAGCTGTCAGGGATATCTCCAAAGCAAGTGTCTTCAATGCCTATGTACCCTAAGCTGTATGTGAAGATACATTACTGTGTGAGTTGCACCATTCATAGCAAGGTAGTCAGGAAGCAATCCTGTGAAGCTTGGAAGGATGGAACACCCCCCACCCCAATTTAGACCTATGGGTGCTGCCCCTCACCCTCCACCAAAGGCCATGTAAGGAGCTATAAGTCTAAAGAACTGTCCTCTGGGAAAAAATAAAATGCAAATTATACATTAAAAAAAGCTTTTTTCACTTTAGAAACAGGGTAATAACATGGCTTCCAAAAATGCATCATTTGTCTTTAGAGCATATCTGAATTTGGCGAATACTGGAAACAATTTTATTTCCTTAGTACACATCTATAAATGATGGGAAAAGATTGCATAAAAATTAGTTTTATAGAAGATACAAAGTAATTCTAGTAAGAGTCACACAACGACTATGCCACATTTGGAAAACCATATAGACTCTAAACCCACAGGGAAATACATTCATTATGGAAAAATTGTTAAAATGAATAATTAACAATATGTGTGATATAATGAAACAGAAGTTGGCAATGGCTATGGAATAGAGTGAACCAGGACGTAGACAGAATAAAGGAAAACAGTGATCAAGATAGCCTCTTGGTGGCTGCTAATTCAGCAATTCAACAGAATTAGTTACCAGTTATTGTCAAAAGTAGTGAATATTTTATTTAAACAAAGGTTAAGTTAAATTGATTTGGTTCTTCCAACAAGATGAACAACGGTATATTATTATTGGTTCACATTTTTAAAATATACATTCTAGACCCAGCACAGAGGTGTGTGTTGCCAACA